AGCGGTTCAAAAACGTGTCCTTGTGCCTGAAGTCCCAGGTGCTTGGAGTGTAAAAGAAAACAGGTCTTTTGGGTTCCACCTTCTAAAACTACATGTACCCGCTGCTTCACGGGAGGACGGTGGTGGTCCTGAGCAGGACACCGCTGGGAGCCTCTTCCTAGCAGGTATAAATTGTCTTCTTGACAGAGGAGCGACGCAGACACGGGGAGTCAGTTCTGCTGTAAAATGAGGTTTTCCAGTTCGTCTGCAGAGCGGAGCAGAAACGCCGCCGACTCTCGGTAGCCGGCGATGAGCTGCCGCACGGCGCTGATCTCCGTGGGGCTGAGCTGGGCAGCCTGCATTCCCCTGCTGGTGCTGTTGGAGGGGGCCGTGCTGGAGGCCCCACCTTTCATGCTGAGATCGGTCGGACCTGCCGAGGAAAAGCGAGAGGGAAGCTCAGGCAGAGCAGCCTTGCCCAGGTCTGTCCTGCTCCTGTTAGATCCCAACAGGAGCTGCTGCTCCCAGATCTCTGTGCTGGCAGAGAAGTCCCTGTGAAGTGGGGTGCCCAGAATATGAGGAGCCCAGCTCTGGAGCAGCCAGCACAGGCAGGGCATTGCCTCTGCAACAGCCCCAAGGAAAGAGACTCCAGAGTCAATGTGACAAAAATCCCATCCTGCAGCCTGTCCTGTCCACTCTGCAGGAAGATGGAGGGACCAGGGCCTGCAGTAGTTTCCAACCAGGATGGGAGACTTCAAGAACCCCTCAAGATCAGGGGCAGGGAGGGGAGTGCATTGCCCTGGGACAGGAAGGAAAACATCTAAGGAGAGCAAGGCTGTAGCAGCAAATGGAGAGGCACTAGTGGAGGACTTCCAGACCAGGCTGAGCAGCGCCGTGCAGGGGAGGAGGAGGAGAATGAGGAGGAGGCTCTCATGCGAAAGCGATTTCCCTAGACAGAAAAGGCAGCAGGAAATGGAGCCCGTTTCCCAGCTCAGCAAGGGGGAAGGAGCTGGCAGTGGGGATATGGGTTTGAGCAAGAATCAGCTTAGGTGGGGGATGGAGGGAGAAGGCACTTCTGGGCAGCAAACCCCCTTAGGCTTCCTGCTCAGGGAGGGAGGAGAAGGTGCAGCTCCTCACAGCACCATGACCTCTGAAGGACTGGCAAAGAGCTTGGGCAAGGGGGGCAAAAAATAATTGTGAGGCAGAGGCTTAAAAACCCATTAAAAAGAAGCAAGTTGCTGCTGTGAGCTACAGCCAGGACCCCTCTGCTCCTAGTGCTCTCGGGGGCTGCTCTGAGAGAGCTCTGCCTCTTGCAGAGGGTCAGGGCAGCCTGAGCTGCTCCAGGGAGGCTTCAGAGCTGCCTCTGCCGTGGCTGCAAGGATTAGGTCTCAGCAGCTGGAGGCCGGGGCGGGATCTTTATTCAGGGTTAAGAAGCATTAGGAAGGGATGATAAGAGTTAATCCCAGACAGGCACTTCTCAGGGCTCCGGAAATCACATCTTTCCAAATCCTCACTCCCGTCTGGGTAGGCAGGGGCTGGGCAGGAGCCCAGAGCACACTGGGGCAAGTGAAGGCACCTGGGAGTTGGCTGAAGTACCGGCCAAGGACCAGCATGGGGTCCAGTCCCTTCTGCCATGGCTGCCAGGAGGGCAAGGCCAGGGGCTGCTGCCCAAGGGGAGACCCCCCATCCCACCCCCGCTCTGGCCCAAGTGACAAGGAGTCACCAGGTACCACAGGCCCTCCTCACATCCTCAGGCTACTCTGCTCTGTTCCTGTGCTCCCAACTCACCTGACCCCTTGGGCCTTGCCCCCACTCTCCACCTGCCTTCATGCCCTGCAGTCCCAGTCCTGCTCCCGTGGGCTCATCTCCCAGCCCCTTGTCACCCACCCGAGCCGTGTCAGGAGCTGGCTGTGCCCTGGACGCTGTTCCAGAACCCCCCAACTTCACCAGCCCTGTCTCCATCCCTGTCCAATGCCAGCTGGGAAAGGAATGGCTCATACCAGCAGCGAGATCAGGGCAGTGATAGGAGCCTGCTCCTGTTAATAATTAATAGCTGGTACGGATTCTCTTTTTTTTTTCAAATGACACTCCTTCCCTCCACCAGTGCCACCCAAACTGTCCTTCCAAGTTCAGTTCAACAATTAACCACTCACTGATGAGGCAAGCTGAGCAGCCAGGCAGAGGCCTCCATTGGCTGTAGGAGAAGAGGAGCTTTTGGAGCAACTTTCAAAGAGATGCTGAAGTGACTGGGCTCAGTGGGACCAGCAGCAGCCCCTGTCACATCCCCTGAGAACAGCTCAGCCACCCAGAGCAGGATGCTGGGGGCCCACAGCACTGGCCATGGCTGGGGGGGGGCCCCCTGCAGTGCAGAGTGACCCCACTCACCGTTACTGTGGTTGCCCGTCTGGAGGGAGGCTGGGGGCTGCAGGCTGCCCCCCAGGGACCCGTAGCCACGGTAGCTGTAGTTCAGGCTTCCGTTGATGTAGACTGGGTCTTGGGAGTAAGATGAAGCTGGCAGTGAGTAGGAGGAGTGGGTGATGGCTGTGGAGTCTCTGGGGTGCTGCTTGTCTAGAGCGATCGGCTCGTCCTGCATGGGGGAAACACAGACTGACTCCAGCGAGGAGCTCCATCCTCTGCACCCAGGGGAGGGACAGCGTGGGGACAACTGGTCTCCCGTGGCTGCAGGGTGGCCACCCCAAAACCAGTATCCCTGTCCCTGCTGCCCTTAGTCCTAGGGCACACCATGGAGCCCCACTCTGCAGGCCTCTGACTTTTAGAAAAGTTTTTTAAAAGTGTTTCACTTAATTGCTCAGAAACATCTCTCCCCACACCCAGCTCTGGTCCCGAGTGCCCTACCTGGGAGGTCTGGTAGATCTCCAGCCGCATCCTCTTGGCCGCTTTCCGCGTCTCGCTCTCGCAGGCAGCAGCCAGGATGTTCTCTGCCATGGCCGAGGTCAGGTGTGGTGGTGTGGGCCTGGTCTGTGGAGACACAAGCAGAGAAGGTGTTCAAGGACTTGCTGCCCTGGGAGTGGCTGGGCAGGGTGGTGG